TTCATTCCCACCTTGGAAAAACTGGGTTAAACACGGTATTCTCAGGGTTGGGGATCTCTGGGACACCGAGAGGCAAGCTTGGAAGACAGGGGACCAAATGCGAGAAGCCTTACGGTACTGCCACCATGTCGAGGAGTTTTCGGAAAACCTCATTGAAGCCATCCCACTAGAATGGTACCGGATCCTCAGAAGAGGTCTCACTTTGAGTGAGGGTGACTCGGTGATGACCACAGGGACCCCATAGCAGATTGGTTTGATCCACATGGTCTCCCCCCAAATGGTCCTGATTGAATACTACACCATCACAAAAATAAACACCCTCCAAACAAGTAAGGCACCCTTCGAATGAAAGAACAAAACATCGGTTAACTGAGTGAGAGTTATTGAAGAAAAGGGACAGAGGGGGGCCTTCCAGCCAGACAAACCAATCCAGGACATGGCCCTGGACCCGGTGGAATGGACGTGGCAGACCCCTCGAAAGAGGGGCGCCCCCGGAGCAAGTCATATTAGCCTACACCTCCTAACGATCAAATCAAATTACAAAATGCTTCGACCCAAACGACATCTGAGAGATATAATTAATGAACGATGGGCCAGACATCTGAATATTGACCGTTCTCTCCTGACACCGATTCAATGGTTCAAAGAATAAAAGCACAAGCTAATGACAATTACCTCGCTGCAGTGGCAGATAGCTCACCGCTGTCTGCCAACTAACGATTGGTTAATTAACCGAACAAACCTTGAACAAAGAGGCATGTTGCCCCCATGGTGCCAGCGATGCTAAAGCCTCTTCCCCTCCCACAAGAAGGCAGAAACCATTGAACATATTTTCATGCAGTGTCCGATTGCCCAATTCACATGGAGGTGGTGGGACCGTATCTGGCGAAAGATGGAACCGGATATCCCCTGGCCCTGGTCGTGGCAAACCATTCTGGTTGGACATTGGCCCCGGGCAGGGACAGCCACACCCTTTACGGAGAACATGTACAGAGTAGGAAGGAGGGCGGTGACGTGGGCATTCTGGTGGCAAAGATGCACCCTCACCATGGAAAAGGTACGGGTAGAGGGCGCAGAGATAACAAAACAAATCCAGCAGCAATTACACTTAGAGCTCACACGCAGATGGCTAGATACAAAAGAACAATTACACCTTTTTAAACAGACGAGGGATGTCAAGAGAAGGATTACAGAATTCTGCAAGGACTGGGTAGGGGGGGGAAAGGGAAGGTTGGATCGCAAAGGTGGTATGGAGTGGGGATCAAGAGGAAGGGTTAAGGGACTTAGAAGAGATGAGAGACTACATGCTGGAGTTCAAAGATTGGACTAATATAGAGGCCTCGTTCCCATTACGCCCCTCCACGGATTTCCCAGACCCCTTCCTACCCCATGCCCTGTCACTGACAGAAATCCCGACCTGAATGAAACAACGATAACCTACCCTTCCTTCGCCCACCTAACACCCGCCTCCTCCATATCTCTTATCTCATTTGTCTCTTGTTCTAAGATGCCCACACGAGGAACCCCTCCCTGGAGCCCCCTAGGGAGGACCCCCGCTTATCTATCATGCGTGCCTTTGTTCCACTGATGCAGCCGGTGGTGACAGTCAGCAAGCTGGGTTTGGAGCAGACAGCTCCTGAAACAAGCATCAGCACCTACCTACCTATTTGGCGCCCTCTCTCGAAGGGTGAAGAGATACAAAAGCTCACCAATGACCTCATTACTGGTTTCTATACAGTTTGTCTCCCAGTGGGATGCAGGCCGAGTTCAAACAGTGGGATAGCTACTACAAGTAGAGCAGACAGGCAGACTATTCCTCAAAAGATTATTCTATGAGTCTGCAGATTCAAGAAAGTGGGATAGCTACTACAAGTAGAGCAGGCAGGCAGACCTTTTCTCACGAATTTTTTCATAAAGTCCTGCTCAGTCAATCCCCTGGAATCCAGGGTAATCAATGCTGGCAGGCGCCCTTCTCAAGCCTCTTTGACTCTTTCACCCTGTGTAAAGGGACGCTGGACCCGCTTTCCAGCAGGTGACGCTCCCCACCAATAGATGGAGCCTCCCCCCGGGTGCTAGTGCTGCCTGCTCTTATCAGCAGCACTAGCTCTGCAGGCGGTGTGTAAAAAAAAAAAAAAAAAAAAAAAAAAAAAAAAAGCCTAAAGGGCTGCGAACTGATATACCACGCAGGGCGTGGTGGCACACCCTGGAGAGCAACCAGGGGCCTAGGCTCACATGCAGTGTAGCGTAGTTTGTGCGCAGGGTGTGACAGGCCGCAGCCGTCCAGAGGCCACAGATCGGACGGCATATGGTGAAGACGCGCATTTTAGAAATGGTGGGCCTCTTCCATTGATACATGTCATTTTCCCATTTGTTTTCCGGGAGGAGGGAAGGCAGCTTTTGTGAGGCGGCCGTGTAGTTAGCCACCTTCTGAAAAGCAGGGTGGCTAACTACACGGCGGGGTCTGGTCCAATGGACTGAAAAGTTGTGAAAACGGCGCGAAATAGGGCATGGGGGCGGTCGTGGGTCCAGGCCTGAGATCCGTGAATCTGTCAGTCTCCGTAGTGCAGACAAGATCACCCCGTACTGAGGCTGAAGAACACTTGATTTTCTCCCCTGCCTCTGGTATGCGGAGTATGAGCCTCAGTAACCGTAGTGAGGCCTGTGGAGCTCTCAGTCTCCGAATGTGCAAAACAATACCGACTTTTCCGCTGGAACATGAACAGATATATTGCCCTTTTTTTTGTCTCCTCTGCCTGTGGAGAGTAGTGCAGGGAGGCCGAAAGTGAAGGGATCACAAAGGCGAGAGTTGGAATCCGCCATTTCAGAAAAGCTCATGTTTGTTTTTGTTTCAGAGACTCACAGTCTGATTCTTGCCTACTTGGGGTTACTCAGGAAATGCCTCTGGGCCTGCGGATATCAAAGGCAGCACTCTATATGGCCTCCTGCAAAGATCAGCCGCACCCTCACTTGCTGCACGATTTTTACAATGATGGGACCACCGTGGGACATGGCGCGGCGCCATGGCACAGAAAATATTGCGGATGTACATTTCCCGCTCTCCGCTATCACACCGTGTAGTTTTCAGGCACTACACGGTGCATGTGGGCCGAGGCCCCAGGACTGCAAAGGCGCCCGGTTGTATCCAACCTCGATTACGTCCAGGGTGGGGGCCGAACGGCCCTCGTGTGAACACACCCCGTTTTGTTATTTCCCCTTTTCCCCATTCATTCCTTCCTTTTTTTTTTCGCTTTTTTCCCCATCCGCTGGCTCTTCACACTTACGTCAACCAATGTCCCGATACATTGATTTTTTTTTGTCAGTTTTAACGTGTATCTGGATCTCAACGCCGTCAGAAGGTAGAAAAGACGGTGGCTGTATATCTCAGCGTTCCACTGGCAGATACACGCTAGTAAGCAGACCAACAGAGACCACACTTTCTCCCGACACTCACCGCTACCCCCCACAGCGCACGCCAGACGTCTACAAGGCTGACCTGTTTTCCAAACGGGAAAGCCCAGACGGACACCCTCCACAACGAGCCCCGCCCGCCCCCAAGCCGGCACACTTTTTTTTTTTTTTTTTTTTTTTTTTTAACTGTGTACCGCGCAGGGCGCCTGCGCGGGAGCGCAGCCAAACAGGAGCGAGGAGCAGGACAGGCGA